TGTATGTAAATACACACAGCTAAGTTACTGTATTGTATTGAAATAAGTAGACCTCAAAACTAATTAATTGAAGTGTAATTAGCACTGTTTTAGGATAAGATGTGTACTTAAATGAATTAAATATCTCAGTGTTCTAGGGTACTGTGGTAAATATTTTCTGAGAAATTAAACCCCTGTTCCAAAGCTCAAGTTTTACACAGGTTAAACACATACAGAGAAAATATATTGCAATGCAGGTATTCTTGCATTGGATAAGAGGTTGCAGTCCCTTCAAACCCTAAAATTCTTTGATTCTATGAGTGCTTTGTACTTTGAAGCTCCCTTTTGACATATTACCATTCTGTATCTGCAGTAAAAGCATCCTTGTAATGAAGTTCCAAGTTCACAGCTCACTTTTTTTCATACATTTTATCCATAGATTTGTCTAACCAGTAACTTACATGCTAATTTTTCAAAAGCTTAGACATGGTCCCTACTTTTATAGAATTTTTAATCTAGATGAGCTGAACATTAAAATCCTTGTGATTATATTGATGAATGCATGACTACACAACACCAGTGTTCTGAAGCAAGGACCACTGTCCTATGGTAGGGCAAAATGGAAGAACTCGACACTCAGTGGGGATCAGTGGAAGCCTCTCTGAGGAAGCAGTGCTTGAGCATGCGATGAAGTCAAATAAATGAAAGAGAGTGGGATGGAAATAACATTCCTGAAAGAGGGACAGTGCTGTTAACCTATTTGTCTATCTGTGTATCTATCCATCCATCCATTTTCTATCCATCTGTCCATCCATCTGTTCATCCATCTGTCCATCCACCCATCCATCCATCCATCCATCCACCCACCCATCCACCCACCCACCCATCCATCCATCCATCCATCCACCCATCCATCCATCCACCCACCCATCCATCCATCCACCCATCCATCCTTCTTTGCAGTTTTAGTATACACCAACAAGTGATCATAAAGAAGCAAACAAGTAGAAATGGTGTTTTCTAAGTCTGTGTGTCCACTTGAGATCAGAGAGTATGTTTGTTAAAAATTATCAGAAAATATTAGGAAGTTTTTTCTATTATTATTTTTATTCTGTGTGTATGAGTGTATTGCCTGCATGTGTGTAAGTGCACCCATTTTGTGCAATGCCCACGGAGGTCAGAAGAGGGCATTGGATCCCCCGGAACTGGAGTTACAGATGGTTGTTAACTGTCCTGTGGGTGCTGGGAATCAAACCTGGGTCCTCTGCAAGAGCAGCCAGTGCTCTTAGCCACTAAGCCATCTCTCCAGCCTGGGAAGTTATTTTAAGCAATGATAGATGTGAAATAATTTCAGCACTTGCTTTCATTCTTATGGGAATGGGATTTGTCTGGGTGAATACCTAGAGTTAGCTCTTCTGGGAATCGCCCTTCTGCTGCTGTTTTCTGCATGAAGAAGGTGCAACATGCAGCAGGTGAGACTCAGGTGCCAAAGGCACAACTGTGCTTCCATGGGAACTCTAACTTTCAGCTACAAATGGAAGAAAATCCCTGCATTAACAGGGAAATTGAACTTTACAGTGAAAAAATTAGTTTTTCCTAGTGCTTTTTGGATTATCACTGAAGCAAACTTCAAAAGAGGTTAAATGGTAACTAAATTAATATCTGTTCTATATATAAGGGTCTCCCTGTGTCCTTGTGCCCGCCAAGAATGTAGCTGCCAGTACTGAAGTCAGAGGTGGTTTATTGCCCTTACAGCTGTTGTCGGCCTAATGATAAATGTTCCATTGAGTTCACAGACTCTTGGCATTAAACATATACCTGGAAATGAGATCAAATACCAGTCCATTATAACTCCCATTTTACACAAGAAGAAATGGAAAGCCAGTAGGTTAAGTGACTTACTCAAATCATCTAAAAATTTCTGTTCCAATTTATACCCCAGACTTTTGTGATGTCTGTGCTGTTCAATGTGAGAGGCATCTGAGTCTGATCGCATTCAAATTTTGGATATTTAGTAGTCTTGTAATTTTTTGAAATATTGTTTTCAGGATAGCGGATAATTGTGCCCCCGACACTGTATTATTGTGAAGATTAAAATGTGCTAAAAAGTCAGCTTGTAGTAAATGCTCAATAAATCTTTGTTTGGTAGAAAGGACAAAAGTGATTGTGTCAATTCTTCATGAAACTTGAACAGCTGGGTCAAGACTCCCTTGTCATCCTGGGCTCCTAGACTCCACCATGTCCTGGACAGTTACCACAGAAAAGGTGACATGGTTCAAAGCTAAACTAGTGTGAACATTCATGTATAAGGCTTCATA